CATCCGTTCACNGCTCACTTTGGTGAACACCACTAATGTTATTCAATCCAGCATTCAAAGTGACAACTGTTTAGCTGAGGGAGACCAGGGCTCAAATCGTAACATACGTTCACGGATCGAAAACCATACGAAAGAAAATTACGTGATACGTCAGGCAGTATAAGCTGAATGAGACAAAGACTACGTTCACGTACGTCATAATCTAAAAAATTTGTTTTTACGTGACGAGTAATACGATATCGTATGTGACGATTCGAGTCCAGGTTTAGAGTTGTGGTCGAGTTAGTGTAGTTGAGGAGGTAGGGATTACCTCTGCGAGTGTTTGTGTATCGAGCTCAATGAGTCTGTATGGTTTATAGGTGCACATCAAGTCAGCCACGCACTTAATATGCCTGATATGCGCGAGAGAAAGAGAGAGAGAGATATGCGGACAGGCTGATGAAGCGGTAGCGCAAGATGTGACCATTTCACCGTGTATTCATTGTGGGACTCCATTGGAGGAGTCATGCTCTAGTTGCCTTAGGCTGCTGGGCAATGAGCTGGGACTTATCCAGGGATGCATTCGTGCAGAGCCCCAGTGTGGTTTGTAAGCAGTAGCTTAATACCATGCCAAAAATTTCTCCGGAGGGGAGTGTGGGTGATGCTCAAAGCACAGTGTGATAGCCAAGCTGGGTTAGCGTTAACCGTAGCTGAAAATGCCAGCGACTTATCACTTCACTAAGTTCAGCGAAGAGATATTTGAGAATTGCATAAAAAATGCATACCCAATTAAACACGAGCGAAGTACCTTTAAGAACAAGTGCGTCTGTGTGTTCGTTGTTCTTTGTTTAAGCGGGAAATGCATAAACACCGTTGTGGAAGAAGATGAATCAGTTAGTTATCCAACGGAATTTTTGAACTCGATTGATCTTCCAGGGATGACCCCACATACTGAATTGAAAATAGGTATGCCAATTATCACGTTGCGGAATATTAATCACTAAAACTCCGCAACGGTACACGACTCGCAGTTAAGAAATTGATGAAGAACGTAGTGTAAGTAAAGATTTTTACGTGGCCTTTCAAAAGTGAAGAATTCCTATGATTCCGACCATTTCAATTTTAAAGATTGCAATTCCCAATTCGATTGACATTCGGAATCACAATCACTAATGCTCAAGGTTATCTTTTGGAAAAGTGTGGTTTAGAGTGAGATGCGGATTGGTTCTTAGATGTTGCGTGTTCCCGTGTCGGCAAACCAGATATCCTTGATATCAATGCAGAGAATGGAAACACGACAAATATTGTGTGCACACAAGTCTTCTTCTTCTTATTTGGCGCTGTAACCGCCTAAGCGATTTTGGCCGAGTCCAAAACAGCACGCCAGTCATTTCTCTTCTGTGCTAACTGACGCCAATTGAAAATGCCAAGTGAAGCCAAGTCCTTCTCCACCTGGTCTTTCCAACGCAGAGGAGGCCTTCCTCTTCCTCTGTTACCAGCA